AGGAAATTCTGCTGAAGATCTATTAATTTGAATTTTCCCATCAAACACAGGCATGTTAGTGTACTAGACACAAGCTGGAATGCATCCTGAGTGCCATCTTTATTCTAAGTTAAAAGGTAGTTAATAGCTGCTTTCTTCTAGCGGGTAGATGGCAGTGGCCTATTTAAAAATTCATCAAAAATTTCCACCGCTTCACTAAATTCAGCAACCTCTAATTTCGAGTTGTACATAAATTACAACTTTTATTCTTGGAGGACATAAAGTATCATATTTTCTTCGTCTTGAATCACTCGGCCTCTGCCGATTAATGCAAAATATTAGCCGCAGAATGAGCAAATTCTATGCTGGTGTCTGGGCTCACTAGCGAACTTGTAGTATTCCGAGAAGTACTTCTCCATTTCAGGATCCCGGATCTCACGGTAGGCCCGGTTCGCCTCGATCAGGCTTTCTGGCAGATGCAGCTGTTTTCGCATAGCTTCTACGTCAGCGTCCTTCCTCCCCTCTGCCCAGATGTTGAGCATCGTAAGCATAGACGCCAAAAACGAGTAGCCGGTCAGGTAAAATGCCTCTGATGCATCTAAATGGAGAGAAAAAAGGAATGATCGGTACATTTACAAGAAGTGCGAAGGTTGAGAGTTTAAGAAAAATTTAACAAAAGGGCCCATTCAGTCGAGGTTATGAAGCTACACGAAATGGACACTATCCGATTTTGTTAGTTTTAATGAAAAAATATGATAAACCGATTTTCTGTCCAAGAAGAAGATACTCAGAGCCAAAGCTTGTAATAAAATGCAATAGCTGAGGCTATTATAAGAGTAAATTTGTTTCAAAACTATCCGCGAACTTCTACTAATTGTGTAGATTAACCGGTGGACAGTTGAAGCTTCCCGGACTGATCCCTGGTCTGCTCATAGCGAACTAAAGCTAATTAATAGTATAGATTTAACGAGGTTGCATGTAGTACAATAAGTACGAACCATTTCTTGACGATGTAGCAAGGAAAGCATTTAGCTTTTTTGGCAATCATCACTACTCAGCCTATCCAAAAGTATAATGAAATCTGGTGTAATCGTCAGAGTTGCCCTAACCTAGGTCACATCGGTTTTCCTACCTGAAATTAAATCCTAAATATTACGGCTAATGAATAGAAACAAATGCGAATTATTCTGCTAGAAAACAAAATGTTGTAATAAGCGTTATAGTGAAATCCATCGATGGTATAAGATGTCCTCTCCAATTCATCACAAGCAGATAAAGTGTGTGCGAGTAATTCCAAACAATCCACGGTAATATTCCGCCGTTAAACCAAATTTTCCGCAAAATTGAACAGCTCAGCTTCCCTGGAAGTGATTTTGCACTATCTGCTCCAAATGCTGCAGTTCAATCTACCCTCACTTGTGGCGCTTTTTGTGTTAAACTATTTCTGGAAGACTTTAAATGATGTACACAGTCTTACCGTTATCTGCCATCGTTGTTTGTCTACTGCATACTATTAAGCGATATTACGACCAAACCATTGGTTACAACATTTGGTCTTTATATCTAAAAATGGACTCATTTTGTCTATTTTAATTTCCTATTCTCCTCAAAGAATATCCAAAAGAAAAAGATAAGTAAAACTATTAAATTTGCGTCATTTCTTAACATTATCCTTCCTTATATCCCTATTTTAATCATTTTATCCTTTAGAAAGCCCTAAGGTTCAG